GCGTGCGCGAGCTATGCAGCCCCAGGTGAAGCCTGTAGGTCCAGCTCATGTGTTTTTGTTTAGAGGTGCTGGCTTTTGACCCCAGGCCTTATGAATGCCTCACGAGCACTGCCGCTGGGCCACACGCCAGCCCAGGTGTGTCACAAGCTCTTTGAAACATTACTTCTAGTGCTGTGAAAGAGGTAAAGTGTGCCCATTCCTGCCAGATGCTGTACTAAATAAAATATACGGTACAGGAAGTTGACTTCCATTTTCTTCTTGAAACAGGATGGCTGCCCTGCCCACAGGAGTGCTGCAGATCTACGACGTGGGCCTGGGGGACGTGGGCAGCTACCGCTGCGTGGCTGCCACCATGGCCCACAGGCGCAGGAGTGCAGAGGCCATGCTCACCGTCACCCCAGGTAGCGCTGGTGCAGGTGTCCCCGGGGTCGTGAGAGCTTAGGAGCACACCTGGCGCTCATTGCCCCTGTGGAGCTAGTGCTCCACAGGCAGTACTTTTTTTTGTATGTACCTTATTGTAATCTGTTGTTTTTGTCTATTAAGCAATTGTTTATTCCCAGGGTAATTTGCTTTATGCCAACTGGTTTAAGGAAGACTGTTTTATAAATATTTCACTTTTGTTTTTTAAAGTGATAAAAAAAAAAGCAATAATCTCTTTCCTCCAGAACTGTCCATTGTCAGTGTTTCCAATATAAATTTTTTATGTAAACCATGGAAATAGTAAAAAATAAAATCCTTACAATATCTCAACTAGGGGCTGGGGAGATGGCTCAGTGGAATAAGTGCTTCTCTGGCCAGCACAAGGGCCTGAGTTCAATCCCCAGTTCCACCAAAAAAAAAAAAAAAAAAAAAAAATCTCAACTACATTATATTCAGGATTTATCATTATCACAATACGCAGTTTGCCATATATGAATTTAGCTAGAAAGGAAGCTAGAGACGTGGACATGAAGAAATTTATAGCTCATTAAAGTGGAGTAATATTACATTTAAATTACTTGAATGTAGTGAAAGAAAGCCTACACTAAAGACATCAGATTGTTTTGTTTTGTTTTGTCTTTTTAGACAGGGTTTCACTATGCATTCAAGTTGGCTGTGAACTCCGTTTGTAGTGCAGGCTGGCCCCAGACTCAGTCTTCTGCCTTGGCCTGTCGAGTGCTGAGATTACAGGCATGCGCCACCATGTCCAGCCTACACACGGTTGATCACGTTACTTCCTAAAAGATCTTCTAAAGTTTACAATCTTTTGAAAACCTAAGGCTGAAGTTACTTTTTCAATGCCATGTTTTAATTTAATTTCGGTTCTTAGTGGTGCTGGGCAGGTGCCCTCCACCACACTATGCACCAGCAGGCTTTCTTCTTATAGGGACAGAAGTGTGCTCACACTTCTCCAGCTTCCCAGTTCTTACTAAGGCTAGTGAATGTATTGAATAGTACTTGAACCTCAAAGTGAATAATAAGAGCCATTCTGACAGCTGTAAAGGGAAGGGAACAGGTGTACCTGTTGGGAGGGATGTGAACTGCTGGAGCTACTATGGAAATCAGTACAGAGGTCCCTCAAAACTTCAAAAAAGAATTACTGTTTCATCCAGCAATCTCATCTCTGGGAATATATATGAAGGATATGCTATCAATGTGTGTAAGAGAGATCTACACTGCTATATCTTTGTAGTATTAGTCACAGTAGCCAAGGTTTGGATAAAATCTCCCTGTCAGTGACAGATGAACGGATGCAGAAAATGGGATCTGCACACACAGGGAAGTAACATTCAACCATTAAAAAAGGAAAGATGCCATTTGAAGTAACATGGGTGGACATGAGTCATTATGCTAAATTTAGTCCAGAAAACCAGACAGAAAAGTAAATGTTGTGCTGGAAGTGGTGGTGCATGCCTGTAATCCCACACTCAGGAGCCTAAGGCAGGGGGATGGTTGCAAGTTCAAGACCAGCCTGACCTACAGAGTGAGCTCAAGGCCAGTCTGAGCTGCACAGTGAGACCCTGTCTCAAAAAGGCAAAAAAAAGATAAATATTGCATAGTTGTACTTTGATGAAGTACCTAAAATTGTCAAACTTCTAGAAGCAGCTTTCAGCAGTGCACAAGAGGCGTGCGTGGGCCACTCGGAGGATGCCACATTATCATGCGAGTCAGGCCTACAGCACTAAGTCCTGTGCAACACGAGACCAACAGCTGCCGCACCACAGTTTACAGCTTAAAAATGGCAAAGAAAACAGATCTTGTATTAGGTAGTACTGCTATAAAAATAAATTTTGAAATGGAAAGAAAAATGTAAATAAAAGGCAAAAAAGGATACTTTTTGGAGTGATGGATACATTTAGCTATGGTAATAATCTCACAAATACATGTATATCTCCTAGTTCATAAATTATATACATGAAATAAGTATAGCATTTTGTACATTAGACACATTTTTAGAAAGTCATTAAAAAGGAAAAGTGAATGATATGGAAATTACCTAATGTATATCCCTTCATGAATGGCTAAATAAAATGTCCTGCCTATACTAAATATTATTTGATTATTATTCATCAAAAAAAAAGAACATGAAGCTGGGTATGGTGGCACACCTGTAATCCCAGCATTAAGGAGACTGAGGCAGGAGGACTCCTTTGAGTTTAAAGACCAGCCTGGGCTATATAGTGAGTTCAAGGCCAGCTGAACCTTGAGACCTTGTCTCAAAAGGCTAAATAAATAAATAAATAGGAAGAATACACTGATGCGTGTCACAACAATAAACTCTGAAAACATGTGAAGTGAAAACAAGCAGCTGGAAAGTGCCAGATATTGTGTTGCTCTGTTTTCGTGAAACATCTGGCGTAGCGAATCCAGAGAGCAAAACACAGGTGATGCCTGTGGGCATGTGGGGTGGAGACTGGGACTGGAAGATGGCTGCGACTCTTTCTGGGGTGAGGGATATGTCCTTGGAGTAATTATGGTTGTAGTTGCCTACCTGAAATTCTAAAAACTATTGAGTTATACATTTCAAGTAGGTGAATTATGCAGTATATATGAGATCTGTCTCCGTAAAAAAGTTAGTGTTGTTTCAACATGTCTAGCCTAACCCTTACTTTTTATAGCTTATTTTTGCATTCCATCTTTTCCTCCAAAGCTATGGAGTCCAAGCCCTTCCACACCCCAACCATCATAGCGGGGCCACAGAATGTCACAGCGTCGCTGCACCAGACTGTCGTTCTGGAATGCATGGCCACCGGAAGTCCCAAGCCGATCATTTCCTGGAGCCGTCTTGGTAAGTGTTAGGGCTAGTGTGAGGGTTAGCGGTCTTTCCTAGGGAAAAAAGTCTTTGAATTCCTTTATTCTTTTTTTTTTTTCCCCCGGAACCGGGGATTGAACTCAGACCCTTGCGCTTGCCAGGGAAGCACTTATTTCACTGAGCCATCTCCCCGGCCCAAACCAGGGATTGTGGGGATTGAACTCAGGCCCTTGTGCTTGCCAGGGAATTGCTTATTCCACTGAGCCATCTCCCAGGCTCCTAATTTTGTTTATTCTGATGAAACTGGTAATATATTTATTTGAGATCAAATGCATTTGGCAATTCCGAAACTTCCTTTGGAGCAAAGAGAGAATGTTTCACTCTGGCAAACTGATGGCTTCCCATGACTGATGGCTTGGGTAGCATCCACTTCTGGCATTGTCTCAGATTACGCATTCCACCACCTTAATGGGAGTGTCTCTCTCTGAAACAGACCACAAGTCCATCGATGTCTTCAATACTCGAGTGCTTGGAAACGGCAACCTCCTCATCTCAGACGTCCGGCTGCCCCATGCTGGGGTGTATGCATGTAGGGCTACCACCCCGGGCACACGGAACTTCACTGTTGCCATGGCAACCTTGACTGTCCTAGGTATGATTTTACTGTGTGATTAGGAGACTCTTATTTTCACATTTCCATTTTAGCTCAAGCTTACTTGTTTCTTTCTTGAGTTTTGTAGCACTGATTTGAAGGCTGATAAAAGTATCATAAAGAACAATGAATTTTAGGAGAAAAGTTACTGTGTTAAACTGTAACAGCGTAGCTGCCACTGTGCTGTGTGTGGGTGCTGTTATGTGCCCTCCTGTCTAACTTGCCTGCTCCTCTCCTCATCTTCCACAAGTTCATCCCATGGCTTCTGTTGCCTTGGTGAGGAAGGACTGTGTGCGCATGGCCCAGGACATCAGGGGATGCGGAGAAAGGGTCACACACAGGTGGTGGCAGGCAGCAGTGTGCAGACCCCCAGGACAGAGTGCTTTGGGTATGTCCTGGGTGCTCTCGTTCCTGTTAGTGCCACAGAAATGTTTTCTTTTGACTTTGAAAACAGCTCCTCCTTCATTTATCGAGTGGCCAGAAAGCGTAACAAGGCCCCGCGCCGGCACTGCTCGGTTTGTGTGCCAGGCCGAGGGGATCCCTGCGCCCAAGATGTCCTGGCTGAAAAACGGACGGAAGATGCACTCGAATGGCAGAATTAAGATGTACAGCAGGTGGGTCTGCCGTGTCCGGCTGCTTCATGGGCAGTGCTAGCAATTTTATGTAAAATAAAATTATATAATCAAAAAATTATATGATCAAATAGACGATCTTAAGCAGTTAAAACTATTTTAAATAACGAAATTAAGATTTATAGCACTAGCATGCCATGGACACTTCGTGTTTTGTTTGTACGTGGGTACTGGTGGTGGAAGACAGCAAACTGAGCAGTGGTTGCTTTCCTGGCCTGGCTCTGGCTGTGGTGGGTGCAAGCTAAGGTGGCACAGCCAGCATGGCCTTGCTTGAGAGTCTTGTTCCTTCTTAGATTTCATAAGAATAGTTCATGCTCCAGAAATTCCTGCAGGTTAAAGTCTGCATTGTTATTAGCATAAGTGTGCATTCTTGTAGCATTCTCATTTGTGCTCAACAAAGCTGAAATCTTGTGTTGACCTGATTTTACCTAAACATTATGATATTATGCAAATTGAGTAGTATTCTACAGCAATGCTCTTTCTTTTTTTTTTTTTTTTTTTGGTGGAACTGGGGATTGAACTCAGGCCCTTGAGCTTGCCAGGCAAGCGCCTGTTCTACTGAGCCATCTCCCCGGCCCCACAATGCTCTTTCTTAATAAGTGAGTTTTTGCTTGCTCTCAGGGCGCTGTGGACTGATCCCAGGGCTTCACAGGCCAGGCAGGTGTGCGGTCACTGAGCCATACCCAACTTTAGCAGCCGTATTTTTTTTCTTTCTTTCTTTTCTTTTCTTTCTTTCTTTTCCCCAGCGCAACTGGGAATTAAATTCAGGCTCTGCACTTGCCAGGCAAGCACTTACTCTACTGAGCTATCTCCCTGGCCCCCCAGCAGCCGTATTTTCAGAGTTTAAGTTGTCACCTAAAGCAAAGAGGATTTGGATATCAAAATACTGTTGAAAATTCAGAAAGTAAGATTAAGGTAGTTTCAAGTAAGTAATATAGAATGGCTTTTGGTTGTTGTTGTTTTTTGGGGGGAGTTTTTTTGGCAGAACTGGGATTGAACTCAGGCCCTTGCACTTGCCAGGTAAGCGCTTGTTCTACTGAGCCATCTCCCCGGCCCTAGAATGTTTTTAATTAGGGCTTCTTATACAGTTTTCCATTTTCAGTAACTTTTGTCATGTAAAACCAGAATATGTTTAGCAATAGCTGACCTTTATTTTTATATCATTCTTAGAATTTCCATGGACATAATGTTGTTTCTTCCCTTAGTAAACTGGTTATTAATCAGATTATTCCTGAAGATGATGCCATCTACCAGTGCATGGCGGAGAACACCCAGGGCTCTGTGCTGTCTCGGGCCCGGCTGACAGTGGTCATGTCGGAGGACAGGCCCAGCGCACCCTGCAATGTGCATGCGGAGACTGTGTCCAGCTCGGCCATCCTGCTGGCGTGGGAGAGGCCCCTCTACAACTCCGACAAAGTCATTGCTTACTCCGTGCACTACATGAAAGCGGAAGGTGCGCAGTTGTGTGGCGTTTTCCAGGGGCTGCTGTGGCCAGGGTCGTTTTCAGAATGAAGGTGTCTTGCATAACCCATGAAATAGTCTTGAAATTCCAGAGCATGTTCCTCTTCAATAAAGTAATCTTCACCTGTGGTTGTACATGTTGTATTGTGTTAGTATAGTTTAAGAATTTTTTGTTTAGAACTGAGTTCTGGCTAAAGCAGTGCATCTCAGCCTGCTAAAAATCAGAGGGGTCTACGTAGGAATTTTTTTTTTTTTTTTTTTTTTTTTTTTGGCGGAAGCAGGGATTGAACTCAGGCCCTTGCGCTTGCCAGGGAAGCACTTTTTCCACTGAGCCATCTCCCCAGCCTAAGTAGGAATCTTATACTGGCCAAGATGTAAGTTCCTTACCTGAGACTTAAGCCAGTTCAATATTCAGTGACATGCAGGGTGTTTAGTGACATAATGCAGTAAACTGTGAAAACTGTGGCATGTTCTTTTTAAGGGTAATAAACATGGTCAAGTTCTCCATGTGCTTGATCCTGTGCCTTTTAAATGTTTTCTGAAATCATTTGGAACTCTGAATATTGAACAAGACACTCTTTACTGATATCTTGTTTACCTTAGAAAACTAAAAACCGAATCTATCTTAAAATTCTCAGCATTATTGGTTAGCATTTTTGTTTCTCAGTCCTCATATCTTATTTCTGATCAAAACCTTAGAGGAAAAAGAAAAGCTACTTAGAAATCCTAGAGATTTCTCCGTCAGCTTTTCATAGAAATCATGATAGAGATTTGTGGATTTTAGTTTTGGACCCAAACACTCTAGCTTTTCTGCCGTGTGCAGTTAAGTGCAAAGCCAAATGCCAGTGAATGCTGTTAAGTTTAAGTTGTCTGGAGAGACAGGTGCTCTGCTGCTGCTGCTGTTTGTTTTTCACAATCTGTAGTGTTTTGAAAGGAATATTTTGCATGTAAATCGGGTTGTGGAAGTGCTTGCCCACTGCGGCGGAGCACGCTGACTCCCTTTCAGGTGACTTAGGGGGTAAAAGGGTGCGGGCCTCAGTGGAGACCCCGCTTGTGTGCTTCGCGGTGGTTTCATTAGCGCCTCTGCGTGCCGCACAGTGGCCTATTCAGGGGCAGAACAAAGCTTTTGAATTCGAACTCAAGGACCTTGTCTGGGAGGTCAGAAATCTACTGTGCTGTTCCTAATTAACCAGCCATTAGCCTGTCTGTTGTGAAATGCCTGTAATCTTGTCTAATTAAAATGCTATCAAGTTAATTCAGAAATGTGGGAAAACTTAATGCTGAATTTGCCTTCTGTTTTGCTCATGAATGCAGCGTGGAGAAGGGACTTGTCCCTGGAGGGGGTGGAGGCAACGTGGCTTTGGCTGTACACAGGCCCGGCGACTGCTCCTGCCACACAGCGGGGTCTGCTCTGCAGTAGTGCAGCCCCCAGGACAAATCTTCCTCTGTACCCTGCCATGTCTGTTTCATTAAGAGTCGCTGAGAGCTTTTTCTCTTCAAAAAGACAACTGTGTGACAGCTCTGCGCAGCACCTTCAGTGTCCCCCAGTTCTTTTGCTTTTAGTGTGCAGGACAGCCTCTGGCTCTGCTTGCTTTTGTAAGAAAGGGACCCTTCCCCTCCTGCCCTCGCTGGTGGGAAGGGGCAGAGGGACCTGGCGTGGGCAGCATGAGCACGGCTCCTGGGCCCAAGCTCCACGTCATCTGAGCTCTGTCCCTGCCCGACACTCTGGCCAGAGGGGACACAGAGTTTCAAGAAGCTTCCTTCTTGTTAGTTTGATTTATTTAGGAAGATTGCAGATTAGTAATTTGTAGCAAGATAAGGGAAAAAATAGGGACTTTTAGTTCACTTTGTGTAAAAGGTCATAAAAAACAGAGATGAGGTTAGGCCCCAAACATCTTGTAGCAAGGGAAACTTACTTTAGATTGAATATTCATGATTTGTAAACATGAATTCTTTTCCTCTAGGTCTGAACAACGAAGAATACCAGGTTGTCCTCGGGAATGACACGACCCGCTACATCATCGACGACCTGGAGCCGGCCAGCAACTACACGTTCTACATCGTGGCCTACATGCCGCTGGGGGCCAGCCAGATGTCAGCCCACGTGACGCAGAGCACGCTGGAGGACGGTAGGGGCGGCAGCGGTGGCGGGGCGCGTGCGGCTCAGCGGGAAGTGGCCTCTTTTTGGTTAAAAAGATGTTGAAATAACTGATTTAGGATAAAGAATTTATTTAGGACTTATAATACAACTTTAGTGGTAAGTTCTTAATTGTATTTTCCAGTTTAAATTGTAAATATTTTTTTTTCTCACAGAACAAAATGTAAGTTTTTCTGGAGACGAAAAATAGGATGACCACTACATATGGAGTGCTAGACCGACCAATAGCAATGGCACGCCTCTGGAGCTGGATGTCTATTAAACCTAGTACTTTTCAGTTGTAAAAACCTTCAGATAATTACTAGCTCTTCGCTTCTATTTAGGTGTGCACAGCACTGGCTCAGCTTGTCGCTGCACCACTGAGTTTCAGGAAGGCAGACCCCCCATAGCTGGTGGAGTTGGGCCCGGGGGTGGCGGTGCCTGTTGTCCCAGCACTCAGAGGCTGAGGCAGGAGGCGATTTTGAGGCCTTGGGGACAGAGCACCCTTGACCTGGCCCTTCTTGGCCCTGCAGAGAGTACTGTGGAAGCCAGGCCCACTCCGTCCGGGGGCTCTAGGAGGCGCATTTGCTGTGCGGAAAGGACTTGGCAGTGTGTGCTGGGTACAGCATTCTCCCTTTATACTTGGGGAGTGAACTACTTGTCTTCAGAACAGTGTTAATAAGAAATCTGATCTTGCATTCATCTGCTACCAGATCTTCACCCATGTATTTATAACGTCTCTTACTTCAGTCAGAGTTTCACGGAGTAAAAACTTTCCCCTTATTTGGATGCTAAATTCCAGCTTCAGGTTTTCACTCATGTGTGTTGTCCTCCAGCGTGAGCCAGTGCACCAGCGATCTCTGGTAAACACGTCGCACTTAGCAGCATTGGCTTTGTGTGTGTGAGGGGGCGCGCGTGCAACTTGGCAGCCTTCACACTGCTGAGATGTGGTGCCTCCGACCCCCAGGGCAAGGGAGGGGCGTGACTCGGCTCACGCTTTCAGCCCCCCTCACCGGATGGCTCCACGTGGGAAGGAAAGGCATGAGGGCCTGGGTGGGGAAGGTGCTCTTGGCCTAGCAGCCACCACATGGAAAGAGAGGCGAGGGGCTGGGAAGGCAGGGGGACCTCCAGGTCACGACCCTACTGACCCCACAGTGAGTCAGCCCTGCTATACCAGTGACCCAGTCACCTTCTAAAAGCCTGGCGCTAGAGCACAGGAGGACATCTAGATCTAAACCTTGACATTCCAGCCTGGGGCCCCAAAAGGCTTATGTCTATGTCGCTACGTAAACTACTTTTACTCCATCTCTGAGAGTCATCCAAGTCCTAACAGTTCTGGCACTGTTGAAGTCCAATTCCAAGGTGTCCTCTGAGACTCAAGGCAAACTTTTAGCTTTAGCCTTCTGCAAAAATCAGTGACACATCAATGATGGACAGTGACACAGGCTAGACATTCCCCTTCCAAAATGGAGGAATAGGGGAATACAAAGGAATCAAACTGGGGCCAGCAAGATAGCTCAGCAGACTATCTGCTTAGGCACAGGGACTGGGATTCGGTTCCTGGCACCACATGCCACACTGGCCCTTCCCAGGGAGCGCTGAGCCTGCCACCCAGACTGGGCATGGTAGCACATGCCTGTAATCCCAGTGCTGGGAAGGCTGAAAACAGGAGGGTCACTCTGAGTCTGAGCTATGTAGTGAGATCCTGTATCAAATACATTAAAAAAAGAAAGAAAGAAAGAAAGAAAGAAAGAAAGAAAGAAAGAGAGAGAGAGAAATCAAACTGAAGCAGAGCAGAACCCAGCAGTTAGTGCCTGTGGCTCTGCATGTAGCACCCAGGACCAAGGCTGCAGACGGCATGGGCTGGCCTGCCGTGGCCATGCCAGCGTCACAGTGCTCAGGGACTTGCCTGGGCTCGCTTCATTCATGGCCTGCTGCTTTTCTTGAGTTTCTGTGTTCCTGGCTTCCCTGCCTCTCTGGGGCCTCCACTCACCGTCGTCTTCGTCCCCTCAGCTTCACCCACTGATCTCTCAGAAACGCACTGCCGGGCCTCCCATTACTTCTCCTGCGTCTGGGTAGAAGTCTGCGTGATCCCACAGTTCTTGCATTCCGCATGCCCATGAAACCAGTACCACATGGCTAATCCCAAGGCCTGCCAACACCTCCAACAGTCTCCAGGCCCTTTTGCACTGTGGCGGCGGGGGCCTCTGAGTGCCGGGATGCCTGGGCACTGTGAGTCAAATCCTGGGAAGCCAGTTTCCTAGGAGGCCTTTCTAGAGTGTGGTGCACTGGGGCTGTCTTCTCCAGGTGGAGAACTTGCTCCTTCACACCCTTCATTACATGCTCTTGAGGCATCTGGTCTTCTGATGTAAAGTACTTGGCTTCTTGCTAATCAGACTGTTGTCCTAGAGCTCCTGCCCCTCTGCAGTTCCCTCCACCTTGCTTCCAGGTGTGTGGTAGAAAATTGGAAAAATGGTTTCGTGCTTTGTATGAGGGTTATGGAGTCTCGTGTTTACCCCAAAGAACAAGACCTCACGCAGTGGCCAACACTGTGCTCTCTCTGATTCTGCACACTCGTCTGCTCATAACTGCTCCTTCATCCTGGCTTGTACTCTGCCCCTTGAAAGCCCCTTGAGTGCCAGCTGCACCTCTGGGCCACTGAAAGAGCTCCTGCGGGTACCCTGCCTCTGAATACTTCTGAGCAGCTTGTCTCCCTCTCCACCTAGTTCCACTGAGGCCTCCAGAGATCAGCCTGACAAGCCGAAGCCCCACCGACATCCTCGTCTCCTGGCTGCCCATCCCAACCAAGTACCGCCGGGGCCACGTGGTGCTGTACCGCCTGACCTTCCGCCTGAGCACCGACAGTGCCGTCCAGGTCCTGGAGCTTCCAGGCACCTCACACGAGCACCTGCTGCAGGGCCTGCGGCCAGACAGTGTCTACCTGGTGCGCATCACGGCAGCCACTCGGGCGGGGCTGGGGGAGTCTTCGGTATGGACCTCGCACAGGACGCCCAAGGCCACCAGTGTGCAAGGTACTGTCCATGCAAGGGGTACGCAGCTGGCCGAGGCTCTGAATTCAGACTCTCCACTCTTGGTTATATTTGATACTTTGTTTTGTGAATAAAAAATATCCCATAAATTGGGCCTTGCCAGATAGCTCAATTGTTTAAAGTGCTGCTTGGGCAAAATGCAGTCAGGTGCATAGGACCGCGGTTCTATTCCCAGCTCCAGAAGTTGCACCAGACCTGCCCCTAAGGCAGCCTGAGGTAGAAAAAAAAAAATCCCATAAATTATGCACTTAATTGAAAACAGTTAATCGTTTAGTGTAGTAATCTCTTTTTGCTTATAGCTCAAAGCATTTTTGTTCTTAATTTATTTTATTTTTATTAGTGCACATTTGCAGTACATGATGGTTGCATTCATTGTGGGGAGACGGTGCATGCAGGCACATAACATGTCTCAGTTCTCTTTTTTCCCTTCCCCTCTGCTCCCTTTAAAAATTTTTTTTGCCTGTATCAGATTCAGTTGTTCATTTTATAAAACTTTCAATTATACCATAAATTCACTTAGCAAAGTCTTTGTCCAAGTCAAATAGAGTTAGCGACAGTGATCTATTGCTGGAGACCTATTTAATATTAATGCAATTTTTAATAGCCATCCATTTCAAAGAAAGGCTGTGCTGGGCCATTCTCGTACACCCTAGTGGTGGCTGGGACTTGACTGATGGTGACGAGGGTTCTTTTGCAGCAGAGTATTGCTGTATAGTGAAAATTAGAAAGTAATTTATTGCCTCTGAAAAAGTAAAACATCCAAATACCTATACAGATATTATTTTGTTATTATTTGTATATT